GGCTGAGGCAGGAATATTTCTGTGATGAGTACAAGGCCAGCCAGGGCTGCATAGTAAGACTGCCTCAAAAACAAACAGAAAGGTATCCTCCATAAATACCCATAATATTTACATATTGAAATAAGATCCCTTGAACAAATTCCAATATACTCAATGCCTGATCACTTCTCAGAGAATGGAGTCTGGCTTTACCTAGAAAAAAAACTTGAAGACTCCATTATCACATGACTTACAACAGTATTCCCTGGCACTTCTTAAAACTAAGAAGCAAGACTCAGTGCAGCAAATCCAACAGTTGCCCATAAGCTAGTTGTTTGGTTACAAAATTAGTTCACCGTCAGGGTCATGTAGACAGAGGGAAAACTCTTGCTGGCTGAAATGCAGCCATCACTGTGGCCATCACTCATATGCACACCCTCTGTTAGCAGAGTAAAGGAACAAAACCGAACTGGGTATCACACCCACCATCACTTAGCTCCTAACCTGTGCAAGAATTCTGCCTGTTACATGTCACATCTAAAATAACTGACCGTGACCTCAAAAGTAAGAGTACATCAGTTTAAAGCAAAAACTACTCACTTTAGAAATCGGAATGAGGCAATGATCTTTAGCCAGGTGCAAATTTGAACTTCAAACTGCTCTTCTACCAACCTTGACCGCAGTAACACACAATGTGGTTGGCACTGGGATGTGAGGTACAGACAATAAACAGTAGCATCAACATTCAGTTCTTCTAACCTCAGCAGCCATGCCTAGAAGAGACTGACAACTGTCTTGTTCTTGGCTGACCCAGAGGCAAAAGGCCCCAAAGGAGGAGGGGTTATGATTAAAATGTCCGTTTGTAGTAGGATGTGCTGACATATACCTGTAATCCCAGCACCAAGACAGAGGCAGGTGAATCTCCATGATGGTAAGGCCAGTCTGCTCTACAGAGTGAGTTTCAGGACAGTGACAGCTACACAGAGAAATCATGTCTTAAAAAGAACAAAAGATGAAAGAAAACCAATGGTATAATTCATCAGTAGATAAAATAAAGATAAGTATGGACTTAGTATTATCTAAAACAAAGTATATTAGCATACATAAAGAGCTGTGGTCATCTTAAGAAAGACCACCATACAAAAACAGCACACCAGTGTTCTCTCCCTCTTCTTCACGCTTATGGAAATTCATCTTAAAATATAGACCCTAGAAAACAGAATGGGGTGTAGGGTTCTGCTGTCCTTACTTTCTGGGTCTTAGATGTTTATAATAGCTTTAGGGTTTTCAAATACTTTTATAGTTTCCCATATTTGTCTGTTTCACAGGCATTGTTGCAAGCAAACATGACAAATTTGACTTACTTGGTAATCTAGATAATTCAACTTCATTACCTGAGATGAGCAACCTACACCTTTCCTCACTGTAGCCTCCTATAGCTTCCCAAAGTAAGACCTTGGCCCTCTCTACAGTCTTCCCTTTTTGGGCAAATTTGCCATGAAGTTTGCTTGCTTGTTTGTTTGTTTGTTTGTTTGTTTGTTTTTAGGTCCCTCTATTCCCTCTTCTGTGTATACCTATTAACTGATTCTAAAAGCTGGCAATGACACCGCACCCCCCAAAAATACTCATATAGTAAAAATTCTAGCCACCATTCTTCTTCACCAACATGCGGACTTTTATGGAAATTTACCTGTTAAATTAACACAGAAAGAGGGTGGGGCCTGAAAGAGTCTCAGCAATTATGAGCTCTTGCTACTCTTGTAAGCTGGGTTCCCAGCACCCACCTGGTGACTCACAACCATCTGCAACGTTCCAGGGGACTAGACCCCTCTTCTGACTTACACACACACACACACACACACACACACACACACACACACTCATAGGCAGAACATTCAGATACAGAAAATAAAACAAATGGACTAGAGGGACTTCTGTTCTCTGGGTCTTCCAGGTCTTGGAACACTGAAAAAAAACACTTGATCATTGAGCCTTGACTCTGGCCTTTCACTTATATCCAATGGCCATTGCTCTTATGGGCCCTTCACTTTAAAAGGGGCACATCTGGAGTCCAGTGGCCTAACCTGTGACACATCCACTGTGGGCACAGAAACCAACGAAGCATTACTCTCACTAGTCTAGTTCCTGGAGTAAACACAGTAGATAATCATCTCAGGTTCCAAAGGAATTCAGTCTATACCAGGTGAGACTGGCAGACTCTATACTATCAGAGGAGTCTGTACTATTAGTCTGGACTATCAGAGTTCACACAGATGTATTGTGATATACACAAATACACAGTGAGTCTGAGCTGCATCCTAAGCATAGCCACACCCATTTTCTACACAACAGAATCAGCACTGATACAGAAGACTGCTGCTGCTTTGTCTAAGAGAGAATGGCTATGTTTGTAAGAGTCAAATCAGGTCGATTGTTTGAATGGTTGGCAGGTTATTGGCACAGTGTTTAATAGAAGGAAGAAGGATCTTTTCATCTAACAGTTGACTTGTTCCACTCCCAGGCCATTTTGACTAAGGGTTCTGGGTCGGCCAAGAGTCTCTCCAACTTATGACTGTTGATATCAGACAGTTAAGTGTTAACACTGTAGTGTACCTGCTATATATTCTTTTTCTTTTTCACTGAAAATTGTGGTTTAAAATGAGAAAAGGGCAAAGAATTACAGAAAGCAAAATGAGAATAAAAGGACAACATTGACAAGAGACATTAGGCAGAGCAGACAAAAGCATAGCAATCAATCATCTAAACCAGTGATTCTGACTAGTTCTAAAGAAATTTCCATTGCTATGCTCAGCTCCACTAATGTCATCAGTGCAAGCCTCATTCTCCTTAATCCTAACATCCACCAATCTCCTGGTCCTTCTGCAGTCACTAGTGGCGTGGGCTCAGACCTTGCATCCTTTCTCAGTATTTAACATTCCCCTCTCCCTTGGCTTTACCATCAATATGTCAAGCAATCTCAGGTCTTTCTTATTCTTTAAAAATAAAAACAAAAGCATTTCCTCATACTCCTCTAAACTGTTCGATTAGCTTTAAACATCTACTCTATTGTTGCCAGAACATTTTGAGTAAGAACTCAATCCAGTGACTGGCTACTTCACCACCATCCAGTTCTCCCTGTTATGTAGACAATAACCTCCCTCCCAGGGCCTGTATTCCTAGAGTTTGCTGTCCTAGCCTTGCAAGCCCATCTAGTTCATACCTTTATTTCCTAGTTTTGGACCTATTCTAGCCAGTCTCCACCTAAGACTCCTTCTGCCGGAGATTCCCCCTCACTCTCACCATCATGCAGTGTCACTCTACAGATGTGCTATGATCAAGCACAAATGGTTCTTCTCCATGGTTCCTGGATCATGACCCCCTTCTCCAAGACAAGCCATAGAAACTAGAATTTCCTACCCTTGAGGCAGGTCTCAGAAACTTTACTCTTCCCTTTGGCCTTCAAGAAATTTTTTGGCCAGCCAGTCTAGTAAGATCACAAGACACAGATGATTGCAAAAGAGACATGCCTCACACCCTGGAGGGACAATGAAGTTCAGGCAGGACTTTCAGGTGTTCTAGTTCTATCGGCAGGAGACATGATGGAGTCCCTACAAAATCTCAAAGGACAGGACTGGAAATGCCATCAGATTGCTGACTGCTAAACTAGAGGTTCCCAGAGGATGAGGTCCTCTCCCCCCTCTTCCATGTACCTGGATCTCTCTCTCTCTCTCTCTCTCTCTCTCTCTCTCTCTCTCTCTCTCTCTCTCTCTCTCTCTCTCTCTCTCTCTCTCTCTCTCTCTCTCTCTGAGACAGTTTCTGTACATATCCCTGGATGTCCTGGAACTCACAATGTAGAATAGTCTGGCTTTGAACTCAGAGATCCTCCTGCCTCTGCCTCCCTAGTGCTAGGATTAAAGGCACACACCAGCATGCCTGGTTGTATCCCTCATTTAAAGGCCTTACAAATGTCTCCATAATAAAGTAATAACACTAAGTATTTCTTGACCTCTATGAGCCACTATGTGGGCAAATGAACTGAATGCTGGGAGTGAACTAAGGGAGCACTAGTCATCAACACGTTAGTGAGAGCCAGGGTTAAAAAGCTGGAGCACCCAACTTGCTTGCAAGTGGGGAGAGGAGAGAAGTCTTGGAAACTCAGCTCTCAACCTGTGTAATCTAAAACTAGCTCCAGGCCAACCATATCCCGCTGAATTGAGTTGGAGGACACACTGCTGATTTCTGCTTCAGAATCAATTGCTTACTTGCTGGTGGCGAAAATCCCCACACACCTGGTACCAGAAAATCTTCTGCAGAGAGTGGTGTGAGAGCAGAGGCAAAACAACACGGGAGATGTGCTTCTCTAACAAGCAGAGGATGCTGTCTGTGTATCCTGCCGTTTTAAATTAGAGTTTTGTTCTCTCTCCAGTACTTCTGAGCGTTCCCAGACTATGGCAACACCCAAACACTTAGAAATCCGCTATCGTTTTATACATGTTTCTTTGCTCTCCACACCTGTGAGCTTTGAACTTCTTGGAGGAATAAGGAAAAGTAATGTTGAGCATAGAAAAGGAGACAGCCAACAAGTTAATGCAACATGATCCTCGGGCTGCTGTCCTGCACCAGTTTCTATAGCTATCCCATACATAATAAACACACTCAGAGGCAGAAGAATTCCACTCACTGCACTTTTTAATCCTATAAGCACAATACCTCACAGAGGCGGTCTGTTTGACATCCTGAATCAGCACTCTTCCCAAATACGATGAAAAAGAACTTTGGATTCCACAGAGCCATGTCACAAGATTGTCATCTTGACTGACTGCAGTCACTCTTGACTAAAGCAAAAGTCAGTGGCTATTTTGACACATGACAAACAGCACTAGAATGGTTCAAACTGCTATCATTCACAGTTAAGGAGGGGACACACCTGGCTTGTCAAGGAATCAAACAACTGAACAGGAAGCCCCCCACCTCCTGAGCCATGATCCCATCACCAACATCACGAGAAATCAAGTACTCACGCATATCACCAAATGTCCCCTTGGTTACTTTGGTGGCACTTAGAACCACTACTGTGAATTTATGGGAATACTGGTGTTCCACCTAGAAATAAAATGATAAGAAATGTAAAATAAGCATTCTCAATAGCATCTCATTGTTTCTCTGAGACAGATTAGAAACATGCTCAGTACACACATACCAGAAACATCTTGTGGCACTAGAGCTGGTCCTCTCTCAACTCTCTTCTCTCCCACCACAGAATCATCGAGAAGTGTAGCTCCTGCCTTATGCTGTCAGTACTTGAGAATGAGACTATCTGCTACTTGACAGGGAAATGTAAATCAGGACTGCAGGCATCTAGCACACAATTGAGCTTTGTACTCTGACTAGGAAGTGTGACTTATAGAGGTGTTCCCAGAGCAAGAAGCTTACATCACTCAGGCTTGTTTGCCTCTTACAGCTGCTCAAAATCAACCGAATGTCTTTTTCTACATAACATTCCTGAGGCAGTTGTCAAAATGCCTTTGACCCAAAGCAGCTATATATGAACTACTTCTATTGACTCCAATGCTTTTGTTTAAAACTATGCCTGACAGTGTTCTGTTTCTGATATCCTGAAAGTCTGCACACACATAATAAAATTAACAGGGAGGAGGGTTATTACACACCTCACCTAAATGGAAACCAGAGAGCGAAGAACAAACAGGGAAGTAGGAATTTACAGTTTTAAGAGCAACTGAAAAAAAAACAGCAAAATATTTAAAGCTTGCAGATTTTTTTTCCTTGCTTTTTTCAAGCTTTACGGGAGTCCACTTCAGTTAATGCTGATACACCTGTCAGGCAAGATAAAAAGTCTAGTGCTTAAAAAGCAGCTGTGGGCTGGAGGGATGCCTGGGCACTCAGGGGTGTCTGTTGCACTTCTTAAGAACCATATGGCAGCTTATTAACTGTACAATGTAACTCCAGAACTTGGAGGCAGGGGGAGTCTGGTGTCTTCATCTCTGTGGACAACATGTATGTATGTTCTGCACATACATACATGCAGGCAAATCACTTGAACACATAAAACAAATCTTTTTTAAAAACTAATATTTACAAAGCTGAGATAATGTCAATACTATGAAGAAGTGATAATTTCAAGGCAAAAGGCATAAAATGTAAACAGAACAGACTCATATGGATTAACAGGGTCTCATGTGGCCCAGGTGGGTCTCTAGTCATCTCGGGCTCATCATGAACTTGAGTCCTGGTCCTCCAGCCTCTAGGTCTGGAGTAGCTATGACTACAGGCCTGGGTACCTCTACCATCTCATTTTAGGCAGTGCAAGGGATTAAATCACTTAATTAGTCTAATAACAAAGTAATGTTTTCATCATGGCATTCTTATACACACGTCAGTATACTCTATTAGTATATTTCCCTCTCCCACAGCCCTCCCCCTGCTCCATGACCCTCAGCCTGGCCCCTTTCCTTTCTGTACCAACAGCCTCCCGTCTGTTCTCATGTCACATACATACTATTGCCCCCCCTTCCTCCTCCCTCATGAGTTCTTCATCCTCTCCACATGAGGGAATGAACGAGTAAATAAAATGTGTTACACATATGTAAAAAAGTTTTATTTGGGCATACAAATGAATAATGACCTTTGCTGGAAAACAGGTGATACTGAAAATAATTACGTTATATGAAATAACCCAGACTGAGGAAGACAAGTACCACATGTCTCTCATATCTGGAATCCACATTTAAATTTGTGTGTGTGCTCACACATGTCAATACAAGAATGCATTTACCAAGACCTGTACAGTAGAAGACAAAGGCCAATACATGGTGTTTTCCCCTGTGGACCTGGAACTGTCCGTTTTGGCTAGAAAGGATGGTTGGTGTGCCCTCAGGATCCACGAGTATCCACCACTCATCCTCTGCCTCCCACCCCCCGTACCAGAGTTACAAATGTGGGCCATTGCAGTGCCCAGTTAGTATGAATGCTAGGATCTAAACTCAGACCCGCATGTTTGCACAGCAAGAACTTTATGCACTAGGCCAATTCGGAAGATTTCTTTTATGCTACTGGAGATCTTTTGAGAATGTCAAGATGATATAATAATCCTTAATACATGTGTGTCAAATAATATTACATGAATACATGAGGCAAAATGTAGCATGTGACAGCAAGAAGAACTAGAAATATCTGTCAGTGCAGCTGGAGATTTTTAACAGCCCTCTACCAGTAATAGACAGATGCAGTAAACACAAAAGTGGTAAACACACAGTTACCTTAGAGCTCAGTCAATTAACTTCATATAATAAACACCTACAAATGACGTTACCTACCATCAGGACCTATATTCTTCTCAATCTCACATGGCACATTTACCAAAATAAACCATGTAGTGAACAATAAGCACACCTTAACTTATTTAAAATATAGAAACAAAACAATGTCTTCATAACACATGAAACTAAATAAAATAAACACAGAAAGGTTTATAGTCCCCCAAATACACAGAGATCGTCAATTTTGCTGTGTGCTGTGAATATGTATTATTCTCATTGGTTAATTTAAAAAAAGCTGTTTGGTCTATAACAAGGCAGGATAAAATTAGGCAGGGCAATCAAACTGAGAACTGGGATAAACACAGGTAGAGTTGAGAGAGACACGGGCCGGCCACCAGGGAAGCAAGATGCTAAGAGACAGGTAAATCCACGAGCCACTTAGTATACACGGATTAATAGAAATGGGTCAATTTAAATGTAAAAGCTAGTTAATTGCAAGCCTGAGCTATTGGCTAAGAATTTGTAATTAATATAAGCCTCTGAGTGGTTATTTGGGAACTGACAGGCAGAAGAGAAATGTCCATTTTAACAATTTTGTGAGTGCACAAGTAGTTAAGTCAAAGAAATAATAAGAGAAAGTCATAATCTGGAATTAGAGGAAAATGAGAATACAACTTAAGAAAATTTGGGGAATGCAATGAAACCAGTGCTTAGAGAAAAATGTATAAAATCCTATTCCTTGACTAGAAAAAAAAAAAAGAAAAAATCCAAAATGAATAAACTAAGCCTTATCTTAAGAAACGCAAAAAATAACAAGTTAAAATACAAAATAAGCAGAAAATAGCAAAATTAGAGCATAAGTCAATAAAATTGAAAATACAGAATGAATACAGGGAAAGCAATGACACCAAATATTCATTCTTTGAAAAGACCAGGCCAGGTGTGGTGTTGCATGTCTTTAATCTCAACACGCAAGAGCTGAGACAAGGAGATATCTGTGAGTTCAAGGCAAATCTGGTCCATATAGTGAGTTCCAGGCCAGCTAGAACTACACAGTAAGGCCCTGTCTCAAAAACAAAAGTAAATAAATAAAATAGAATAGCATAAAATCAATAAACCTTTAACCAGAGCATTTCAGAAATGAGGAAATAGGTTATTTACCTTCAGAAATCAAAAGGCAAAAATATTATGATTTCATGAACAATAAAATGACAAGGAAAAGAATTTGTGAAAATATCTCTGATCCAAAATTGATAACATAAATAAATGGGAACAATTCACTGAGCAATCTACCAAAGTCCCACTAATAATAAACATTCTCAACAAGCCTACATTTGCTAAGTAAATTGATTCAAGAACTGACAACTTTCCCTAAGAGAAAGCACCTAATTCACATGGGTTCATGTGTGAATTCTATCAGCTGTTTAAGGAAAATTACAACAGTTCTGTTCAAGTTATTTTTTCCAGAGGATAAAAACAGATGGAATATTTCTTGGTTCATCACTGGCTGCCAGCATTATTCTAATTTCAAAGTCAGACAAAAATATTATAACAAAAGAAAATTATAGACCAATGTTCACATGACCACAGAGGTAAAACTACTCAACAAAATAGTAGCAAATTTAGTCTACGTCCAAAAAAGAGTCACAGGTCATAGTACTTGCAAGACAATGGATAGAAAAAGAACCCTTTAGTCACATAAAATAAGCCAGGTTTAACAGGAAAAATATTTTTTCTCTTATGCGTAATTTGGGCTTAAAATTTTGTATGTAGACGTATATATAGATATTTGCTTTTACCTCCCTGTGTGTTTACGTCATAAATTTAGACAAAAGGTCACAACACAGGAGAAGGGATACTAAGGAAAGGTGAGAAAGGCAAGGGTAAAGGGATACCTGGGTCACGGAAGCAGAGGAGGGGACATCTGTGGCAAAAAGAGAATCAGGGAGGGGAGGGCAAGGGGAAGAGCATGGAGTAGAGAGGGAGAACAAGCATTGAGAAGAAAGGATGATGATTGGAGAACATGGAAATTCCATAAGAAACATACTGGACAGTAACCTAAAGTAGCTTAAACAAAACACAGTCTTATTTTTAAAATATCATGTCATTAAAACAGTCTGAGGCACAGTGGTATGAATGCAAAACACCAGCGCTTCAAGGACATGCAGCAAGTTAGAGGCCAGTTTGGGCTACACAATGAGACCTTCCCTCTGGAAAAAAAAAAAAAAACAAGAAGCAGAAATTGGCACAAAAACACCCGGAATTTATAGACTCAGCACATTCCTAAAATCACGTAAACCTATTTTTGCAAGAATAATTGATTCAAAATTGTTCATGTATAGGCAAAAGATCCAGAAAAGCACAAATAATATTAAAGGAACACTAAAATAATAAAGGTGAACTATGCTAAAACAACCTGACCACAATTTCCTGTGCTGCAGTAACCATGACAGTATGGTACTTGTGAAAAGAACAAGTAGCCCTAGCTACAAAGTGACCTTTAGATAGGCTAGTCTTCATGGGGTCCAATGTCAGAAACAAAGATAGATAGCAAAGAAGAAACTTGCTTACATGCCAAGGATCTGTGCTTATCTATGTCTTTGAACATGTAACAGCATATGAATATTCAATGTCTAAAATTCCCCTGTAATATGAAACTTATGAGCAATACTTTTATCTGTCTCTACTTTAAACTTCTAAGGTGTTTCAAGTATATGTATATGTATATATATATATATGTGTGTGTGTGTGTGTATGTATATGTATTACTATAAATTGTTAGACTTTAGTATATTAAACGATTTATTTTATATTTATATGTATATG